AAAAAAAAAAAAAAAAAAAAAAAAAAAAAAAAAAAAAAAAAAAAAAAAAAAATTGTAACGTACTTCTTAGTACGGTGTATGTTATTGTTTCATTAGCTACCGGATACCCTAAACCCGATCCACCTTTAAGCTCACGTTACTTGTTTCCTGCAGGGATGTTCAGTTTACTAAATCTTGGTATTCTATGTTTAGAGGATTAAGTTAATTTTTTATTTTGTCTTATCTCTACATTCTAGCTTTTGGAAACGGTCATTAAGAATTGTGGGGACATTGTTCATATGCATGTGGCAGAGAAGGGCCTTCTTCATGATATGGTAAAAATGGTGAAGAAGAAGGTAAGTTTTCATTTAGAATGTTTTTGTTGCTTTCTTGTTTCACCCGTCACTCTTTCGTAAAATAATCTCCCAGTATTTGTGGGCGTGGTGTAGCCTGATTTTCGCGTCAAAGAGAAGATATTGATTCTGATAGATACTTGGCAAGAAGCTTTTGGAGGATCTAGGGCAAGATATCCACAATACTATGTCGCATACCAGGAGTTGTTGGTAAGTGTGGAAAGGCATTTTTTGAAGCATGTTTTTGCAGTTGAGGCTGATTGAATTCGGTAGAAATACTTTATTCTTTGAGTTCTGGTATTTTTGCATAGCTGTGCGCATCGACTGAGTTCTATTTTTTCATGCACCATCTTTTGCTGGTTCTTTGTTTCAGCGTGCTGGGGCAGTTTTCCCCCAGAGGTCTGAGAGCTCTGCACCTGTATTCACCCCACCACAAACACAACCGTTGGCATCTTATCCTCCAAGTCTACGGAATACTGAACGCAATCAGCAGGATAATGCTGAGACCTCTTCTGAGTCTGATTTTCCGACCTTAAGGTGCACAAACTTCTTTTATTCTCTTATTTCCATCATCAAAGTGTTTTTGTCCATTATTTGAATATGGTTAATAGTAATGGAACTACGAAACTGATTTTGATTCCATATTTCCAGCCTGACTGAAATTCAAAATGCCCGTGGAATTATGGATGTCCTATCAGAAATGCTTAATGCATTAGAACCAGGGAATAAAGAGGTACTTCATCAGTTTAAAATGAAAGCAAAACTATAATGTATCTCATGACATACTTGGGATGTTTGTTGTTCTTCCATCAAAATGGATGTTGTGTGGATTCTTGACTATATTCATGTTGGGGTATCTCATCTTGCAGGCTATTAGACAGGAGGTTATTATTGACTTGGTTGACCAGTGCCGTACTTACAAGCAGAGGGTGGTTCATCTTGTTAACTCAACTGCGTAAGACCTCATACTTATAGTTGCTTTTATGCATGTTCGTGCTACTACTGAGATTTTTATTTTATGATTATTTAATTTTTTGCATTCACATATTCTCCCAGTTTGTGCTTGCACAAATATGCTTCCTGGTTTCCAATTTATCCTTAAGATAGAGCAATTATATATATATATATATATATATATATATATATATATATATATATATATAAATTAGACAAAGAACACATTGGAAAAGCATGTAATCAAGCTGTATAAACCACTTCTTTCAAATCCTTTCCCTTTTCACTGAACTTCTGGAATTCCATCAGTTCAATATTCTATAGGGTTGCTTTTATTGCATTCCTCCGCATAATCTTAAAATCATTCTTTTTCTTCTCAATTTATGGCCGCACAAAAGTAGAATCATATTTTCCTTAAGCCAAGGAATTACAAAAGATTTCCAACTGACTTGTATCAAGAAGAAAGTAATTACATGGAGAATGACTTCGCATGTCTAACCGTCTTTGGGATTGTTGGAGGAGCTCATTTGGGCTAGTGGGGTGTCCCATTGAGATGGCTATCTCTGCTGGAGGAGGTACTTCAGTATTCTCCAGTTAGGGAAAGAGCGAAGTGTTGTGCCAGGCCAACTTCTTTGCAGTCTTGTTGGCTTGAGAGGAACAATAAAATTTTAGAGATAAAGAGAAGTCGAGAGAAGAGGTTTGGAAGGTTGTTATATCTAATACATCTTCACTGGCGTCATCGGTCATTAGTTTGTTTCTTTTTTCTCTTTGGGTAATTATGACCTTGGTCTTGTTCTTTTGGATGGGAGTCCCTTCTTTTCTGTTTTTTGTATGTCTTTGTACTCTTTTGTTCTTTAAAAGGTCGGTATCTTATTTAAAAAAAAAAAAAAAAAAAACTTGTGTGCGCTACTTCTTTAATGGCCTACATGAACTATTAATTGTGGTTTTGTTGAGTGAGTTAGCTTCAAGTATTTAATGGGGTCATTCAAGTAGAACAAGCATTGTATATTGCTTTCAGCACTACTTATTCCGGTGCAGGGATGAATCACTACTTTGCCAAGGACTTGCACTTAATGATGATCTGCAGAGGCTTCTTGCGAGGCATGAATCCATTTCTTCTGGAAAACCTGTTGCTCAGAAACCAAAGTCCGAATCTCCTACAGCACTCGTTGATGTAGACCGGCCTCTTATCGACACTGGAGATAACAGCAAACAGCCTGAGAATAAGTAATTATTTATAGTATATTGCATGTCTCATTATTTGTTTTTACCATATTTTGATTGTGCATTGATGTATAATTGTTCTGCAGAGCTGCCTCAAATGTCGTTGAAGGTTCTCAAACCCTGAACCAATTGCTGCTTCCTGCACCTGCTGCAACTAATGGTCCAGCTCCTCCAGCTAAAGTTGAACCCAATGTGGACCTGCTGAGCGGTGACTTCAATTCACCAAAGGCAGAGACTTCATTGGCTCTTGTTCCTCTTGGAGAGCAACAAGCCAATCCTCCTGTATCTGATCAAAATGCTCTTGTTCTTTTTGACATGTTCTCGGATGGTAACAATGCCGCCTCTAATCCTGCAAATCCTCCTCCTATCAGTCCTGGTGCGCAACCCCACCCACCTTCCCAATTTCAACAGCAGCAACCTCACCCACCTTCCCAATTTCAACAGCAGCAGCCTCACCCACCTTCCCAATTTCAACAGCAACAACCGCCAAATGTTCACTCACCACAAGGTGGATATTATCCAAATGGGAATGTCGCAAACATGGGTTCGGCTAATTATGAGCAATCGATGTACATGCAGGGGCCTGGTTCTTCCTGGAATGGTCAAATTCCTCAGCAGCACCAACAACAGCAGCCCTCTTCACCTGGCTATGGTACTTTTATCTCATGTTACTTCACCCTTGCCTTGCATTAGAATGCTTGATCATGATTCTTATTCCGGTATCACTTAGCTGAAACATGACAAAGCTCCACATCTTTGTGTTTTCATGTGCTGAAGCCTGGGTTTCTGTGTTCTTTGTTTGAGTTTGACGTGTAAACATATGAAAAACTTACACGATGTTGGTTTGTGTGACAGGTTCGCAAACAACTGGTTCATTGCCACCTCCGCCATGGGAAGCTCAGTCTTCTGATGGTGGCAGCTCTGTAGCAGGATCTCATTACTCTCAACCGATGCAGGTCACTACTCAGGTTATTGTCTCGCACGGACTTAGTGGACATCCCCAGGGACCTCAGTCAATGGGGAACGAGGTTGTAGGTGTAGGAATGTACATCCAGCCGATAACAAGTGGTCAAGTGTCTAACATGAATACCCATGTTAATCCGAACCACCAGTTGGGGTTGCACCCACAGCAGATCCCGGGTATGCAAAATATGGGTATGCCAATGTCTCCACAACAATCGCAAGCTAACCAGATGCCACAACCCTATTACCCTCAACAGATGTATGGAAACCAAAACCTATACAACACTGGCTATGGCTATGGCTATGGTCATGGTCAACAACCGCAAGTGCCACAATATCTTGAGCAGCAAATGTATGGCATGTCCGTTCGAGACGATATGAGTATGAGCCATTCGTCTTCTCAGGCTTCGGCTTTATCATATTTGCCTCCCATGAAGCCAGCGAACAAGCCAGAGGATAAACTGTTCGGGGACCTCGTCGACATCGCTAAATTAAAACCTGGAAAGTCCACTCCTGGCAGAGCTGGCAGCATGTGAAATCATCAGAACCCATTTTTCCTTCGCTTGTTTAATGCTCTCCCCTGTTTTACATTGCATTCATATAGTGTTTGCCTTTAGCCCTTCATTCTTGTTGCCTGTTTGAGTATTGAAATCGTGTACATTTCTTGTAGAGGGATGGAAAAAGGAAAAAAAAAGCCTTGGGAGACCACCTGCCCTGAAATTGGACTTCTGTTGATTTTTTTTCCCTTTTCTTTTTTAATAAATAATTTTAGTGCAAGGTTCATCTCTCATTCATTTTAGTCGTTTTTTATCAATAAATTCTTTTAACATGTTTCGTTACTAATTTATTATTATGATTTAGTATTCTATATAGTAAAAAATGATATATTTTTTTAGTAGAATAATTGTATGTTAGAAACGTGACATGGGGTTCGAAATCAATGGAAATCAATGAAAGAAAAGTGATTATTATTCATGATTTGAAAATTTGATTTTTTTTTTTTTTTTGAAGTAAAAAATTGTTTTTAAACCAAAAGAGAGATTGTTATAAGGTTAAATTATAAAAATAGAAATAAAAATCTTGATTTTTTTTTTATAGAAATTTGTTCAAAATAATATACTCTGAATAAAAAAATTTATTGAAAAAAAAAAAAGTAAAAATTAATGTAATAACTCGTTAGGTATAAATTAAATTAATTTTTTTTAGATAAACTAAATGGTTACAATAATCTTAATTTTTAACGGTATATATTTTTAGACATATATAATATTTTACAAACAATTTGGTAGTTGCTTCAAATATGAACAGTTTTTTTATTTTTTTTTAAATAAAGAAATTCAAGTTAAAAGGATAAAAATAAAGATTTTAAAAATTAAGAATCTACCAAAAAGATCGTAACCACAAATATATATATATATATATATATATATATATATATATATA